CAAAAAGAAAACCCAGCTTCGAGCCGTCACCCTCCACCACGAAAGAAGAGAAGGGGGATTGAGACTAAGAGAAAAAAGAAGAAGAAGAAAAAAAAGGATCTCGGCTTGTCCAGCCCTTCTGCGGCAACAGGAGCAGACAGCGAACCCGGTGGATTTTTTTTTTTTTTTTTCCCTTCTTCGGCGTTTCTTTTCCAGCACAAGGACTTCCACTCAGGAAAAAAAAAACAAACCAACAACCCCAAAACCTGCAGAGACCGAACACAAAAAAAGCAAGACTAATAATGAACAATCTTGTTAATCCGCTGTCCCGAGGGCTGGGGATGTGCCCCGGCTCGGGAAGTTGTAGGCTGTAGAAGTTCTGCCTCTCCCCCATGTACTGTGCTGTCTAGAGCTTGTTTCCCCCCACCCTATTTTTTGGTGCTTTATTGCTGTTATTGTTATTATCTTAATTTTTCTTCTTCATGATGTGCTGTTAGAAACCACTCCGGGACTACTCCAGCAGTAGGAAGACCGAGGAGTGGAGTGGATGAATATACCGATGAGAGATCCAGTAATCCCTGGGACAAGCATGGCTTATCATCCTTTTTTACCTCACCGGGCACCGGACTTTGCCATGAGTGCTGTGTTGGGACATCAGCCTCCCTTCTTCCCGGCTCTGGCTTTGCCTCCCAACGGGGCAGCCGCCCTCTCCCTTCCCGGGGCTCTGGCTAAACCCATCATGGATCAGTTAGTGGGGGCTGCAGAGACTGGTATCCCCTTTTCTTCCCTGGGTCACCAGGCAGCAGCCCATCTGAGGCCTTTAAAAACTCTGGAGCCAGAAGAAGAGGTGGAAGATGACCCGAAAGTGCATCTGGAAGCCAAAGAGCTTTGGGAGCAATTCCATAAAAGAGGCACGGAGATGGTGATTACCAAATCGGGAAGGTAGGTCTGGGTCGGGGGTTCGTGCCCTTTTTTCCCTCCCTTTCCCCCACCCCTCAGCTTCTGCACCTCACCTGGCTGTTTTAGAGCAAGGCTCTTTCGCCGACAAATCCCTCCATAAAGCTCCTTTCACCTGGAATTATAGAAAGTTTTAGGCGGCTGAAGATCCGAGCCCTTCCCGGGCACCACGCTGCAGGGAAAGGCTCGACCACTGAACCACGAACCGGCCCTGCTCAGCGTGTGCGTGTGCAGGGGGCGAGAGGGTCCCTTCATGGTTCAGTAGCTTAATACTGTCTGGAGAAGACTGGTAGCAGAAAGAAAATAATTTGGGGTTGGAACAGGAGCTGACCTGATTTCAGCCTTGCTACACGTAGTTTTTCTTCCTTAAGAAAGAGAAGGGGGAATAAAAGAAAAAAAATATTTGGAGTGGCATATCGCTGCTGGTGAGGCAGGAGCTGCAGGAGGGCAGATAGGCTCAGTTTATCAGTTGCTTCGCTTGTGCCTGTCTCTCTACTGGGATCTAGGCGTGCATTTTGTGCTGACTAATTATATCTGGAAATGCACAAAAAGCTGACAAAAATACCCAGTGGTCCTGCAGCCGCTGCTGTAGCGGCAGGGAAGGTTGTGCAGCTCCGCGCTGCCTGTCCCTGTATTTATGTAACCTTCACGTGGGAATGAATGAACATACACGGCGCATCCACGCTCGGCATTTCTGCTTTTTATAGGTTTACTCATCTGAAATCCCTCTCTGTATTCGCTGCTCGTTGACGTCTGTGCTCTTTTCCAACTCTACCTATTGCTGTGATGACACGTAGGGAGAAAACCCCCTTCGCACCCGGGCGTTTTTCTAAGGAACTCTCTTACAAACCTCCCAAACAATTCGCATGTAATTTGCCAGGAGAATTACTCGAGGAAGCCACTCCTGAAACGTCTTCTTAGATGGCCTTCAGCTGCCTTGCTGGAGCTTCACATACTTGCAGAGCACCAGTTGCAGGCTAGAGGCTCAGGGGGAAAAAAAAAAAACAAAACCAACTAAGAGCAGCAAGGAGGGAAAAAAAAAAAAAATCCCCTTGCCCATTTTACTGCTTTCCCGAAGTTTTCTCTGTTAATTGTGGTCAAAAGTTTTTGCGCGAAAGCCTCGGCGAGTATTAAGCGCTCTTACATGTTGCAAAGTCATGTGTTTCCTTTTAAGTTGAGATTGCTGAATGCCAACCGCTCGATATAATAAACAGCAAATTTGTGGTATCCTGTTGCAGTTTCGAGCTGGGCTTAGGAGCGGAGGGGAGCGGGGTTTGCAGAGAGCCCTCTGCACGAATGGGTTATCACCGGGAGGCTGTAGCGCTGGGAAAGCCACGGCAGCCACCCTGCCCTCACTGTGGGTTTTTTTCCTCCTCCTCTGCAAAGTGAAAAGCTCCCCTCTCCGCTCTTCATCGGTGGACTGGATTATAATAATGCAGAATATTTATTTTATCGGGGTGCGATCTGTTCCCATTTCTTTGTCTAGCAGGCAAAAAGGAAATAGAGATCTGAGCGCCGCAACCGAGGCTTTGCTGTTTAGGAATGGCAGAGGGTAGGCGCCTGCTGATTTCTAGGGAACACGTACCTCTCCCCTCCGCCTCGCATCCCAGGGACCATTTTCTCCTGAAACTTTTAAGCGTTTGAGAAACCTTTTCGCTGGGGGCGGGGGGAAGTCCTTTTGCTGGGGGGACACACGCGACTTTTCTGCTTCTGAGAGCTGAAGCGATTGCTTGGTGGACACGCTACCGAGATTCAGAAGCTTATTTAAATGCTGTAATTAATTTTATTTTATTTTCGTCTTGTCTTTTCTTTATATCCCCCTCCCCCCCACCCTCTGCCCATAGGAGAATGTTTCCTCCATTTAAAGTGAGATGCACTGGACTGGATAAAAAGGCCAAGTACATTTTATTGATGGATATTGTGGCGGCTGATGATTGTAGGTACAAATTCC